TTCTTTTAAATAGTATATTAGCCTTCCTTTATTTAAAAAAATTAAACAAAATTACAAATTCACTGCTAGCTCAAACTCTAAAGCACACAGCTTGCTTATCTCTTATGAGTTGACACAGAGTGATAAGTCCAAGGTTACATTATTTTTTAAAGGTCAAGGATGAGATAGCTTTGCCTGTTCTAGGAACACAGTCTATACCCCAGCACCCTTAACACACTGCTCAGAAATAAATGCTGTTGTTCACAAGAGAGAAAGAGAATCTAGACATATTAAGACAAATCTAGTCCAAATGCTGAGAAAAACTCAAACCACATCCTATTTGATGGTTCATTAAAAATTTGTTTTTACTTGGGAAGTATGCAAGCAGCAGACAAAATCCAGCATTAGTCAGAGTGGGTAGCTAATAATACATCACACATAACATAAGCTTGAATAATGCATTGAAATCATGACAAAAATATGAGACTGAGATATCTTTGGCTCTTTTGCCTCCTAAATGATTAGGCTTAACAGATTCAAGTTGAGCCTGGCCGGTGTGGCTCAGTGGTTGAGCATCGATCCATGCACTAAGAAGTCACTGGTTCAATTCCCGGTCAGGGCATATGCCCAGGTTCTGGGCCCGATCCCCATTGTGGGGCATGCAGGAGGTGGCCAATCGATGTTCTCTCTCATAGATGTTTCTCTCTCTCTCTCCTTCTCCCTTCCTCTGTCTCTCTATGAATAAAGAAAAGTAAAATAAAATAAAATAAAACAGATTCAAGTTGAGATCCATGTACCTAAATGATTAGATACATCTAAAAAATAATTACGGCCCTGGCCACTTTGGCTCAGCGGTTAGAGCATCGGCCTGCGGTCCAGAGAGACCCGGGTTCAGTTCCCGCTAAGGGCGCATACCTTGGTTGCAGTTTGTCCCCGGCCCTGGTTGGTCGCGCAGGTGGCAGCCACTTGATGTATCCCTTTCACGTTGATGTTTCTCTCTCTCTCTTCCTCTCCCTCCCTCCCACTCTGTCTGAACAAAAAATGTCCTCGGGTGAGGATAAAGAATGAATGAATGAATGAATGAATGAATGAATGAATGAATAAATAAATGAGTAATTACAAATAGCCTTAGGGTCTAAAATGAAATGACTCTTTTCTCCCTCTGGAAGGCATAAGTTAAAAAGTCACTGATTATATTCAAAACTCAATAAGACAAATCATTTTATCTTCCATTCTGTAGATAAGAGCTACCATTTAGTTGAGCAATTCCTCAGTACCAGACCTGTGCTAAGTGTTGTACTAACATGATTTCATTCATCCTCACTGATCCGGGGAGGCCTATGACAAAGAAGCGACTGTGAATGGGGCCTCAATGAGGAAGAGACTCACTGACTTACAGATGGATGATCACAGTACTATTTCAGCTTCGTTTTACACTGGAGGAAACAAACCTAGGCTCAGAAAGCCTGGATATGTAACTGGCGAACATCCCATAAAAACCAGGCCCCAGAAATCCAGATGAGGACTATAGAACTCCAAAAGGGCCTGCTCTATCCACTGTGCATTACTACCTCTAATTCTTTTTGTAATCCACACCCTTCTACAAAACTTGACCTTTCCAAGTAAAATTAGCAATAAAACTGGTCATCTTTTACATAGTAAAGGTTTTTTCTTTCTTTTAAAGAAATCTTACAACTAAATATAAATGCTTCTCTTCCAGGAGCATTTAAAAAATATTTTCAGAACTTTAGCAGATAAAATGTACTATTAAAAAGAAAAATATTACAGTACTATGATCTTGCTAATATATAACAGAAATATGAATTATTTATTATACATACCATGTTCATTTTATCTGAGGTCTCTCAAAATTGCTATGAGTGAACCAGTCGTATAGGCCATGAGAAATAGATTCCATCATTACTCATTATAGTTCTGTGCTTGGATGTCCTGTTCCTGAATTTATTATACATATTGAGATTTACCATATTATCTTTTTTTTTTTTTTTTAGTTTAAAACAACAAACAGCCCTGACCAGTTTGGCTCAGCGGTTAGCGCATCGGCCTGCGGTCCGAAGAGACCCGGGTTCGGTTCCCGCTAAGGGCACGTACTTCGGTTGCAGTTTGTCCCCGGCCCTGGTTGATCGTGCGGGTGGCAGCCACTCGATGTGTCCCTTCACGTCGATGTTTCTCTCTCTCTCTCCCTTCCTCTCTCTCCCACCCACTCTATCTGTACAAAAAAATGGAAAAAAAAAAAAAATCCTCGGGTGAGGATAAAAAAAAAATAAAACAACAAACATTTATTATCTCATAGTTTCTGTGTGTTGGGATTCTGGGGAGGCTTAACTGGGTGTTCTTATTCAGGGTGTCTCACAATCTACGTATCACATCTGGCTGGGTCTCAAGGATCTACATCCAAGCCCACTTCCCTGGTATTTGGCAGGAGGCTTCAGCTCCTTGCCCCTTGAATTCTCCATAGGGCTGCTCATGACAAGACTCTCCCCAGAGGAAGTGATCCCAGAAAAAGAGACAAAGAGAGAGGGCCTATGATAGAAGTCACAGTCTTTTATGACCTAATCTCAGAGGTGAAATAACTTCACTTTTACCATATTGTATTAGTTACACAGATTAATTGTGGTACAATGTGAGAGAGGACTACACAAGGGTGTGTCTACCAGGAGATGGTATCCCTGGGGACCTTCTTGGAAAGCTATATTAACATCAGACAAAGTAGATTCCAGAAGAAGGAATATTATCAGGGAAAAGAGAGAATTTTCAAAATAGTAAAGGGGTCAATTTCTCGAGAAAGTGAAAAATCCTAAATGTGTAGACTGAGCTTCATGCCTAATTTTAAGACTCAATACAGGTTCTTCCATCTGTGTTTATTGTTATAAGCATTTTCTGTAGGGGATATCGGGCGTATTTCTAAGTCCACCTCTGCTTCATCATCTTCATTGCAGTTGTCCTCATCAACATCAAGGTAATCCAAAAACCAATAATGTTTTACAAAATAATTATGGCGCGTACCTCGGTTACAGTTTGTCCCCAGCCCTGGTTGGTCGTGCGGGTGGCAGCCACTTGATGTGCCTCTTTCACGTCGATGTTTCTCTCTCTCTCTCTTCCTCTCTCTCCCTCCCACTCTATCTGAACAAAATATGCAAAAATGTCCTTGGGTGAAGATAAAAAACAAAACAATTATGGAGATGCCTCAGGGTTAGTCTGGAGATTCATGGGGTCCTTGGTGCTGGGGCTCCACTTCTCTCGACTCTGCCTTGATGAACACATCGGCTTTTCTCACACTTCTTCTCTTTGCTTGCTTCACTCTCACCCACGGAGGGCCAGTTGCTTTAGGCAGTGGTTGGCCCACATGCAGTGGTTGGCCCATGTGTGCGTGCCTCCGCTCACCTGGAAGGCTGGTGAAGCACCAATCGAGATTTGCCATATTATCTTAATTGTGACCCAATCTCTGGGACTGTGACAGATACTACCTTTTTAGATAGTTCACTAAGAGCAAAATCTGTAACTTGGCCTAGAGGCTATGCCTGACATGGCCTGGCCCAGCTTCCCCATTCACCTCTCTCCTATTTCCTCATAGCATTGGTCTTCTTCCAAGTTGTTTAACTGAACGTGTCAAGTCTTGCTCCCTCTTGCCAATGAGCCTTTGAAAAAGGTGCTCCACTTTCCTGGAAAACTCTCTACCACTGTAACAAAGCTCATACTTATTACTCTTTCACTTCTTAGCTCAAAACTCTTTCACAGAGAAGCCTACCCTGACTGCCCTAGACTAGCTCTGTTTTCCCTGTTCTGCACTCCTATACAGCACCTTTCACATTTTATTTGACGCATTTCTGTCTATCCCACTAGACTACAAATTCCCTGAGGGTGGGACACATGTTGCACAACACTGTATCTCAAGCACCTAGCTCAGTGCCCAGCACATATGTATGCATTCAATAAACCACTGAGTGCCTAGTGAGTGTCAGGAACTGTTCTAGGTACCAAAAATAGATCATGGACCTTAGATTCTAATAAGGGAAAACAGATATGGGAGTAAGAATATGGACAAAATGAAAAAAAAAATCAAACAATTACAATGCTTCTGAAAATAATAAGGCAAGGATGGGTGGGAAGGAAAGGGTTACTTTTAAATGGAGTAGTAAGGAAAAGAAATTTTGAGCAATGATTGGACAGAGATGAGGTACGGGAGTGTGACTCACTAAATATCTGGGGAAAGATCATTTCAAGTGGAGGAAGTAGCCAGTGTAAAGGCCTGCAGTGGGAGGGTGCCTGAAACAAGCAGTTCCCATATAACGGATACTTGATAATGATGTTTTGTATAAATGAGAGGGCACAAAAAAGTTACATAAGATCAAGCTTCTAATTATCACAGATGCCAAGGTGAAGCTAAGTTTTCTTCAAATAACTTCTTTGTTGGTAATAGCCACTATGTGGGCCATGGAACAAACGTCTTTACATATGCCCCAAATCAACACTTACTGTTCCTTATTGTCCTCTCCAACCAAACTTGCCCTTGTCATTGTGCTTGTCAAATTCCAACATATATACTTGTTCCTGTCTCTCATTGTATAGTGATAAGCATTTCATACATAACTTGAGCCTATGTACTTGAAGATGCTAAATTCCTTTTTAAAACAGTGCCCCCAATATAAACATAAAATGACTTTAACCCACCTCAAGTAGCAAATTCTAAGGTATGTTTCACTGCAATTAAATCACTGTGACTGACAACTGAGCTCAAATATATGTATGTAAAAATATTTTATTACCAATTTAATGTTTCTCCAAAGGTTTTAATAGTACAATATACAGATGATTTATTGTAGAATTACCTGAAACTTATATAATTTTATTAACCAATGTTACCCCAATAAACTCAATAAAAAAATAAATATTTTAAAGGTTTTAATAGTAAAAAGAAAATACAGCCAAAATGAGAAACAGAAGAGGATTTTGACCAAATCTCATAGAAAATTATTATAAAGAAGAAGCAGAAAAATTACCTGGATGGCCAATGAAAGCATACCCAGAAGACATGCCTACAAACGAGATGAAAACAGCATCTAATATTTTGAAATGAATAAAAAGAATTTAAGGGAATGATATGAGAGAACAAAATCAGAATTAGAAGAACTCAGAAATGAGGTAACAGTACTAAAAAAAAAAACCACAAAAAACATTAGAACTAAAGAAAGAATCTGATATCAAAGAAATCATGTTACAAATGATGACCAAATTACAAAGTATATAAGAATAAATAAATGCAATATGCCTTAAGAGACAGAGAAGATAAAAAGGAAAACATTTTAAAACCAAAAAGAGATTTTAAAAATGATTTGAAAGAAAATGATACAGAAGATAGGCAAAGAAGATTTAAATAGGTATAATAGCAGTTCTCAAACACAAAAGCAATAGAACAATGGTGAAAATTATAATTCAAGAAAACTTTGAAGTAACCAAAAACAAAAAACAAACAAAAACCCTTGATACTCTACATTGAAAAAAACACACCATTTACCTGGGGAAATTGATTGAAAACAATTAGCCTGAAGATTTTAAAGCAAAAAAAAAAATATTTTTTTTTGGTTGTAGTTGCACCAATAGGGGCTTTTATGGAGAACTGAACATTGTCTAAGGAAAAACAACTTTAGCATCTCAAATGAGAGCACTGCAATGGTTGACAGGGCTTTATATGTACTTAGACCAGCTCTTACTTGATTAACTAATCTCTTCTACAACATTCCCAAGAAGTGGTCATTAAACTTTTGCTTGAATATCTCTAGTTATTAAGAAACCATACTTATAATAGCAGCATATTCCATTGTTGGACAACCATAATTGCTAGACAGTCCTTAATATTAAGCAAAGGACTCTTCTTGTTTGTTCTTATTTCCTGTGTGGAGTCACAGAATAAATTTGGAATTTTTTCCAGTTAGTAGCCTTTTGATTATCTGCAGACATCTGGCATGGTCTCCTTGGATCTACTTTTCTTCAGGTGATACATCTGTTTCTTCAAACATTTCTAATATTTCTTTTACTTTAACTGAAGACAAAATCCAGGCAATTTCTCATGGGAAGCCTGACCTTGTTGCAGGCAAGTCAGATAGCTCTGGGCTAAAGTTCTGCCTGTGCCACTTCCAGCAGTAGGATTGGCCTTTGGTGAGTTTCCTATTCTCTCTGAGTCTCAGTTTGCTCCTTTGTAAAATAAGTGATAATCATGACTTATATCATTTAAGTGAGATGATGAATGGAATGTGTATACAAAATACCTGGCACAGAATGCATATAATGCAAAAAATCCTTTGGGCCTCCAGTCAAAAAGGGCAACTCACTTGGAAAGGAAAAAGAAAAAAAAAAAAATCAGATTGCCATAACATTGAAAGAAGCATGTCAAGCCAGAAGAAAATGGAATCACGTGTTTAAAATACTCAAGGAGAGCATATCTGAACCAATGTACTTTTTTATAAAAATGTATATCTAGCTAAACTGACTTTCAAGTATAAAGGTTATAGGAAGCTAACACGCCACAATTCAGGGAGCATTTTCCCATGACTTCCTAAAAAATAAGCTTCAGTCAACCAAACTAACTGAAGAAACATTATTGTAAGTACTAATAGTAAGCATTATGTGTATATGGATTTACCTGTAAAACTAACACTCATTGATGGTTTTTTAGGGATAGAATAGGGTGCATAGTGGCTGTGTGCTCTCATAATGTAGATACAGTATAGTTATTTTTTTAAAAAAGTAGAATGATAGGTCATACAAAAGGAATGGAATAACAATGCTCCTTCCTTATAGTTAGTAACGATGAGTAAAAGGTTATTTCTTCACATGAGATACAGAGGAGAGGGAAGACACTGGAACTAAGAAATTATTAGCTAATTTTAGTAGGAAACCAATAGACAGTAACTAAAAAATAGGTAAGATTAAAGTATTATATAATGTCAGTTGTGGCAGACTGCAAAATGGTGAAACATTCTCCCTTTTTTTTAATGTATAGCCTTTTTGCAATGTAACTTTTCTGCTCTCCCCATCAGGAGATACACTATATTTACTGCCCCCCTTGAAACTACGGTTGATATGTGACCTGTGTTGGCCAAAGATGTGTTAATAAGCTAATAAGCATAATGCAAACACAGGAAACTATGGACAATGAAAAGGGGGGGGGGGTAGTAACTAAAGTGTTACATGATGGTATTAGAATACAGTAGCCCTTAGAACAATAATGTAAGTTGCGCCCTGGCCGGTTTGGCTCAGCGGTTAGAGCATCGGCCTGCGGTCCAGAGAGACCCGGGTTCGGTTCCCGCTAAGGGCATGTACCTCGGTTGCAGTTTGTCCCCGGCCCTGGTTGGTCGTGCGGGTGGCAGCCACTCGATGTGCCTCTTTCACGTCGATGTTTCTCTCTCTCTCTCTCTTCCTCCCACTCTATCTGTGCAAAAAATGGAAAAATGTCCTCGTGTAAGGATAAAAAAATAAATAAATAAATAATGTAAGTTGCTCTTTAAAAAACCCACAAAACAATAAACAAAAGTAAAATCACACAGAGTAATTGGGAGAGAGAATAAATAAAACAGACTATACAGAGACAGACTATTTATATAAAAAACTCGTGTAGAGGACTTCCGGTCAAGATGGTGGCATAGGTAAATGTGGTATCGCGCCCTCCCACAACCACATCAAAGTTACAACTAAACTACAGAACAACCATCATTCAAAACCGCCTGAAATCAAGCTGAATGGAAGTCCTACAACTACAGGATTAAAGCAGCAGCCACATCCAGACTGGTAGGAGGGGCGGAGGCGCGAGGGGCTGGTCCCACACCCAAGTGTGGCGGATAAAAATCAGGAGGGACACCTTGGCTGGGAAGGTCCTTCCTGAGGACTGAGGGGACCCCGTCCCACACCAGGTGCCCCGCTCAGGGTTCCAGAGCCAGGAAGAGAAGTCCCCATAACTTCTGGCTGGACAAACCAGCGGGAACTGAGGCTTAGGGAGGCTGAAGCGGCTGGAGCCCCAGGCAGCTCCTTAACGGGCCCGCGTGCAAACTTATCGAACTCTCTCCCTCTGAGCTTGGAGGGGAGGCAGCTCGAGGAGCACCAGAGACACACAGGGAAGAACTGAGCTGTTTGGCACTGGAGCGAGGGCTGGAGAGGGGGCTTTCTCGGGGACAAACGTGCTTTCAGAGGCCTTTGTTCCTTTGGTGAGCCCTTCCCTGGGGCGGCAGACAGTTGCCATACCTGGGACTCCAGCAACCTGGCTCACACTGGTAGCCTCGCCCTGGTGACTCCCTGAGGCCCCACCTCACCCCACCCAACTTTCAAGCCCACCCAAGCTGTTGCCACTTGCTTAACCATAGGATTGGCCTGTCTTGGATCCTGCTTCAGGTTTCCCTAAATTCTTTCAAACGAGCAGCATCTGGTCTCAGTGAGCCCATACCTCTCATTAAGTAATACACTGAAACAAACACAGGGAGGCAGCCAAAATGAGGAGACAAAGAAACAGGTCCCAAATGAAAGAACAGAACAAAACCCCAAGAAAAGAACTAAGCGAAATGGAGATAAGCAACCTAACAGATACTGAGTTGAAAATACTGCTTATAAGGATGCTCAGTGAACTTAGTGAGAACCTCAGTGAACTTAGGGAGGGCCTCAAGAGCATAAAAAAGGGCCAGTCAGAACTCATGGATACACAGTTAGAATTGAAGGAGGCATTAACTGAAATAAAGAATAATTTACACAGCTTCAATAATAGAGTACGTAAATCCAAGGAGCAAACCATCGATTTGGAATATAAGGAAGCAAAAAATGCCCAGTCAGAACAGCAAAAAGAAAAAAGAATCCAAAAAAATGAGGATAGTGTAAGTAGCCTCTGAGACAATTTCAAGCATGCCAACATTTGCATCTTGGGGGTGCCAGAAGGAGAAGAGCAAAAGCAAGAAATCGAAAACCTGTTTGAAACAATAATGGCAGAAAACTTCCCTAACTTGGCGAAGGAAACAGACATACAAGTCCAGGAAGCACAGAGAGTCCCAAACAAGATGAACCCCAAGAGGCCCACACCAAGACACATCATCATCAAAATGCAAAAGGTTCAAGACAAAGAGAGAATCTTAAAAGCAGCAAGAGAAAGGCAGCTAGTTACCTACAAGGGAGTTCCCATTAGGCTGTCAGCTGATTTCTCCAAAGAAACTTTGCAGGCCAGAAGGGAGTGGCAAGAAATATTCAGAGTGATGAAAAGCAAGAACCTACAACCAAGATTACTCTTATCCTGCAAAGCTGTCATTTAGAATCAATGGCCATATAAAAACTTTCCCAGACAATAAAAAGTTAAAGGAGTTCATCACCACCAAACCATTATTATATGAAATGATGACGGGTCTTTTTGAAGAAAAAGATAAAATATATGAACAAACAAAATGGTAATGAATACATATCTATCGACAATGGAATCTACAAACAAAATGAATAGGTAGAACAGAAAGATTCTCATACATACAGAGAATATTTTGTTGGTTGCCAGTTGGGAGAGGGGTTGGGGGAATGGGTGAAAAAGGTGAAGGGATTAAGAAGCACAAATTGATTGCTAGACTGACAAACCTCAAAGCGAAAGGGGTTGGGGGTGGGGTGGGAAGAAATAAACCAAAGAACTTACATGCATAACCAATGGACACAGACAATAGTGTGGGAAAAGGTGGGAGAGGTGCGGGAGTGGGGAGGAGGGGGTCAATGGGGGAAAAGTGTGGAACATCTGTAATACATTTTACATCCAACAATAAAGATTTAAAAAACAAACAAACAAACAAAACAACTCGTGTACATACATATGTACATAAAACAATCAAAGAACTGAGGCCAAACATATCAGTTATATGAACAAATGTAAATGGGCTCAAATTCACCTATTAAAAAAAATCTCAGACTGGCTAGCAAAACAAAATCCAAAACTACTGTCTACTACTATAGTGGTACTACTGAGAAGTAATCTGGATATCTTGTGAAATGAAAAAAACAAAGTAGGGGAGATGGGATTGGGGAAGAGGGTGTCAAAGAGGGGAAAAGGAGG